ATTGGGAAAAATTTTCCCTGTTTCTTGAATTCTAGCGGTTTTTCTTTTTTCACATGTGGGGGGATCGTACGGACTCGACCAAAATCTCCAACTATCTATGCCTCGACTGGAAACCGGAAAAACTGGAAAAGTGAAAAAAATTAGGAAAATTTCTAGAAAATTTCGGGAAAAGGTAGGAAATTTAGAGTCGGGAAAGTCAATAAGATGGTAGGGTATGGTGAAGGCGTGTCAATCACACCAAGGGAATTCTATTTTCCCAAAGAATTCTCCAAAGGGAGGACGTGCCCTGCTGTCTGCGTGACCCTACAGAGTGCAGTTCAGTATTGCCTACGGAAATTACCGTTCCAAGTTCACGCCAGCTTTCCATTACGCGTGATTCATCGCTCAAAAAACGCTGCCAAATGACAGATGACTCTTTGATAGGGTCGCAGACGATTGCTCGTCGTTCGCTGCCCATTCGACAACATCGCGTTGACCGCTGGCTCGTGGCAGCTGCATTATTGACGCGGTGGGCTGAGGTGTGTGTGTATCGGGGGGTGTGTGTGGGCCGTTGAAAGTGCAACACAATGGTCGTTGTCGCGTTGGGCTTGGCGACGAGGCGAGCGGCGATACAGCGCGACAATCGCGGAGATCGCAGACGGTCGATAGAACGCGGCGGCCGTGGAGACGTCCGAGACGACGATGTCGCTCCGCGACGCGGTCGCCACGCCATCGCAGCCTCGGCGACGACGAATTGATCGCGCGTCGTTCATTCCGCTGCCGCCGCCGCCACCGACGGCGTCGACGTCGCCGTCACCTATCGCTTCACTTCTGAATCCTTCAGTGCTTTTTGGGGACCTCTTTGATCATCTCCTTTCCCATCAGACCCACTGAAATAGTCGCTAGGTGGTCGCTCTATGTTTCCATCGTAGATGGTCGATATCTCGATGATCTACGGACATTTTCTTATCAGTGACGTCACACATGCTCATCAAAGTCCTCCACACACCTTTCAAAATGATTAATCTTTCACATTCCCATCTCTTACCATTTCTCCTATATTTCTTGCAATTTTCCCGTCCTTTTTTCAATTTTTAGAAACTCTTGGATTGATTGGAAAGGAGGAGGGGGTCTCTCAATCGTTGCTGTGTTTTGCACGAGAGCTTTTGAGGCTCTTATCAGTCAATAGCAGAGAGGAAAGCTGGTTTTGAGTGAATTTCGGGCGACCCATTCCAAGTATTTGTACAGTATTACAAAGGCATTCCATTAGTTGGTAGGAGGGGGACTTCCCATGAGGTTTTCGTATCCCAGGGCCAGGTGGTTGAGAACTGAAATTCTCCTGAAAAACCTCATCTAGTGTGGGAAGACCAGTGAAAATGAGAGCCCATAAGGTTGCTCGGGTTTTCAAGGTTACTATATGAGGCTGAAAACTCGGAAACCCTTGGATTGAGTGGAGGGGAGGGAGAGCAGGGTGGACATCCCATAAAGTTCTCGTATCCCAGGGCCAGGTGATTGGAACCAGAAATTTTCGCCCAAAAACACATTTTATGCGGGAGAACCATGTGAAAATAACAACAGCAAGGTGCTTCTAGGAGAACGCCTAGGATTGCCCAGATTTGCAAGGTTATTAGACCCCTACCCTTAGGATAGGTGCCTCTGATCACTAGGAATGCTCTCTATTAACTCCCTGTTGACCAATAAGCGGCTTCGTAGATCACTAACTACTTGAACGTTTCTGATTGGTTGATCAATTTCAGCATCAACAAAGCTGAAATGGCTCAATGGACAGATCCATCACGGACGTTTCTCATTCAGGAGGTTCGAGGACGCCGAGTAAGTTTCGCGGATGGTCGTTACTGTCGGTTTTCATGCACATTTTCACCTTTATCCCGCTAAAACTCCCTAGAAAGGAGAGGAGATCCAGTGGGAGAACCAAGGATCTTGAAAATTAAAAGTTTCTGAATGGGAACCTTTCAGGTACTGTGGGACACTACCGTAAACGATCCGAATCTGAAAAGTGCTAAAGCGGCAGCTTTCGCTGAGATCGCTAATGTGATGAGTGAAGCGTTCCCGTCAAGCACAAAGTACACAGGTGAGTGCGCCCGGAATGCTCCCACGCAATACGCACTCCCAGGCTCCGCCCACTCCCACATCTGCTAGACCGTTTTCTAAGTGGACGACCAGCTGTTGCTGAGATTTCCTTTCTATTTGTCTCTCTCCTTCTTCTTATTTCTTTTTCTCTTTTCCTTTTCATTTTTCCTTATCTTCGTTGGGCTTTTTCCTAGTCTAATGTTTCGCACCTACAGGAAAAGAATCTAAACTAATTCACGTCCTACCTTTGAGGAGCACTTTTGCAAAATACGACATTTACGAAAGTCCCACCTCCAGTAGGTCCTTCACTTCCTGAATTTTCCCAATTTCCTACCTTTTTCCGGGATTTTTCTACAAAAACTCCTACATTTTTCAAAAATGTGGTCGAGTGGAGGGGAGTAAATGGGAGGGGGAAGGGAGGGCTGCTCTCTAATTGCCTTTTATTTCCGATCAATTGTGGATCTTTTGTGGCCAGATAATTAAGCAACGCGGGAAAGCTTCACGAGATAGTCCATTCCCACTTCATTATCCTTTGTTTTTTGGAATCTTCGAAAAGTTTTTTCGATTTACTTGGTTCTAAAAAAAGAAAGAAAGCCCTCGAGCTCCCATGCAATCAATTATCGATTTTTTTTTTCCCTTATTATTACAAATCCATAATTTCCGGTGAAAGTTGATTTATTGATCCACTGTCTGCACTGTTATTGATCACTGTTACTGACTAACTCTCAGGGGTTGCAAACAGCCTTGCTTGCAGAGGGAAGCCTCAGTCTAGTGGAGTCAGATCTTTTTTTCACACACTTTTGTTAAACTTTTCTCAGAGCAGTAATACATTGAATTCATTTAAAAATGGCGCTCTTTATGGCTTGAGCGGGGCAATTTCGCCACTTTTCGTTAGTTTATTTTGCTAGGTCATGTTGATTGAACAGGTCTCACTTTGGTGAGAACGGGTCAGCGAAATTCGCACGTCTTCACAAGGTGGACTGTATAAGCTTAGCTGAATATCATCAATATCCCCCACGAAGTCGTCCTTCGCATCTATCGAAATTTTGTTTATATCATATTATTATTATATAATTTATATTTATATTATATTTGTATTATAATTTGGTTTATTTTTATTTTATATTTTATGTTACTTCATATTCATCATATTATATTATTTATTATATTTATATTTATCTTGATTTTCTAAAAAAAAACTGAGTTCAGGCGAGTTTAGGTAACTAGTGCGATCTCTTTTTTCGAAATGAGAAAGTAAATTGTTGACGAAATGATTGAGTTTAGGGAAGATCGCTAGATCGCTGAGTGCGAGCGTGAGTAAGGGCCTTATTAAGAGGGAAGTCCCCGCGTTTTGTCTATCGGACGCTGTGGTGAGCACAAAGAACGATCAAATGCATGCATAGCTTCAGAACACGCGTATCGAGCGCGAGAAAAACTGCAACATTCCCGAATGAAAGTGATACGCTCCCGGCCCCAATATTAATCGATTAATCGATCATTGATTCGTTTTTTTTATTCATGGGGGACTTGATTTCTGACAGCACAGGGGCAAAGCTGGGGCAAGTTTTTCCAGGTTCTACCATTAATTTCCATTAATTTCAACAGTTGTGATCAATCGATATTCTGCGTATTTCAGCCGAAGATATCCGATCACAATGGAAAAATCTCAAGGACACTTTCGTGCGAAAGTTACGATGGGTTTCGGAGGGAAAGTGCGTTTTTAGTCAGCTTTCGGGTCAAAACAGTCTCTCTTCCCGAAAGCGAATGGGCGGGGAGGGACAAGCGGTTGCGTTGCGGATCGATCATCTGTTTAGCTAAATGAGTCCTCGTTCTTTATTGAGTTTCTTTAGTCACTATGTTTTTTTTCTGTTTTGGAACACCATGATGTAAAAGAGTACCTCAAAAAGAGTACCTAAAGCCGCTGAAGAATCTACGGGGTCCGACTGCGTTTGAACGCGACGCGACCGCATCCGCGCCCTTGCCCGCCCACTCTCTTCGTAAGATATGGGGAGATCTTGTGGATTTTCAGCAGTTTTCTTAATGTTTCATTGTTCAGATATACTGATGATCCTCTAAAGGAACCGACCTGGAAATTCTATCGGATGTTGTCGTTTCTAGACGATAAGGAGTCTAAACGGCTCTCCAGCGACCATCCGATATTCGACATCGCAGCGCTCCAGAGAGACCATGGGTAACTGGAATCTCCCATTCTACCTAAACAAAACTGCACTCTCATCCTAACCTTCTAGACTGGATCTAGTGAAAAGTGAGCTCCAACATATCCAATATGACGGCAGTAATCAAAGTGCAGCTTCCAGTGAAGAACAGATGCTTTCCCTGTTCGCACAGGTGGGAGTGAGTGCTAATTAATTGGGCCAGGTCTATTTTTTTCTAGATCTCAGCGCACACATGCATTTTTTCAGTCCTACTCAAGTGCAGAAAAGCCTCCGACTCAGCTCGATTCGCCGCCGTCGCCTTCTTTACCACCGGTGTCCAGTGCAGACGCGACAGCTGCAGATAACATCGGGACGAAGAGTAACGCTGCCTACACACATTCCATGGACGAGGAGGAGGAACCGAGACGGAAACGAGTAAGTGTACTCTCATAGCGTAGGTCGTACTCGCGCAGAACTGCCCGGAGTTGTTGGGTTGTTCAGAACAGGGCACCTCATTGGTTGGGGATTTTGGTCGAGTCCTTACCACCCTCCC